TTATCCCTATGGTACAGTAGAACCTCCCTTTAGCGGACACCTCTCTACAAAGGACAGTTTTCATTTGCAAAATTACCATTTTCACTATTTAGCAACTCTCCGGTAAGAGGACACCTCTCCCTGAAGGACACTTTGGCTTTTTAATTAGGTGTTGTCCTTTACAGGGAGGTTCTACTGTATATTTGCCTTCTTTCTTGTTTACCTGTCAGTTTGTTAGCAGCTGGAGAACCTAGACATCCCACTCGGCTGAGAACCTCCATTGTATCTGCCCTCACAAATATGAACTGCAATAAAGCTTCTCCAAGGTCACAGAGAACTCTGAATCTTCTTAATAGAATCCAAGCCACAAAACTTCGGAACAACCCAGGGAAAGTTTGTGAAACAGCTTGTTGGTTTGATCTGACATATTGTAGGAAGAAGTAACAACAACTAGAGAGCAATTCTCATTGACCTCACAATGGCACACAAACTCTTTCTTATATTTTTTAAATATAATTTGTTGGTTGGAAGTTTGTTTGGAAAAAATATATGGCTACACATCAATCTTTTTTTGAAGATTTTATTTAACTTGCTTCCATGTTTGTCTGTCCACAAATCTTGTAATATACACTGTTGGTCACCCAAATTGCAACACCAAGAAAGACAAGAGATATCACAACAAAATTTATTTTGTAGATAACATGTTGACAAAGTATCAAATGATTAAATTTATAGACTTCTGTAAAGTGTGGTTCCTGCCAGAATCAGTAGCCAGAGAAGCCGCCATTGTTGGAGATCACCGCTGCCACACGCCTCGGCATTGATTCAAAGAGACTTTGGATGTGTTCTTGGGTTACAGCAGACCAAGCAGATTCCACACGTTGCCAAAGTTGATCTGGTGTGGCAGCTGGGGATGTAATCTGGGTCAATTGTTGAGCAACCATGGACCACATGTTTTCTATCGGCGAAAGTTCCGGAGAGCGAGCCGGCCAGGGGAGCAATTCAATATGGCGATTGATGAAGAATCTTTGGACAATGCGTGCCACGTGTGGTCGCGCATTATCCTGTTGAAATATGGCTGTGGGCAAGTCCTGAAGGTAAGGAAGAACAACTGGCTCCAACACCTCGGAGATGTAGCGTTGTCTGTTTAAAGTACCGGCAATGCGTACTAGAGGAGTGCGAGAGTGATATCCAATACCGCCCCATATCATAATACCCGGTGCAGGACCAGTGTAGCGGTTCATAACGCAGCTGTTCAGCATCCTCTCTTCACGGTGTCTCCAGACTCGAATCCGACCATTGTGGTTTTGCAGACAGAAGCATTACTCGTCAGTAAAGACAATTTCATTCCATTCTGCCATCCACATTCTTCTTTCATCGCACCATTGGCGGTGGAGACGTCTGTGGTTCTGCGTCAAGGGCAGACGAAGCAATGGACGTCTTGCGGACAGACCACTCTGCTGTAAACGGCGTCGAATGGTACGCGCAGACATTGGATGATGCGTTACAGACTGAATGTGCTGTGCTACGGTTCGTGATGTGACTGAGCGATCTGTCACTGCCATGCGCACAATTTGCCTGTCAGCACGTGAAGTGGTGCACTGAGGTGGATGCGATCGAACACGTCGGTCTGTCGTACTTCCCTGCATCCAATGGTCGCATAACAGCATTATAGTTGTTTGGTTTCGTCCAACACGACTACCGATTTCCCTGAAAGATAATCCACAATCTCAGTAGGCCACTATCCTTCATCTGTCGAACTCGGATACTTGATCAAAAGATGATCGCTGTTTTCTACGAGGCATAATTGATCTTTTTTCTTTTTTTTTTTTTAATATGAGAAAAACACAATTGCCGAACTTGAAATTGTCGAAATCTTCAATCCTTAAATAGTGCTTTGAAGTGGAGCCACAGGCGCGCGTGATGTGTGTCTGCACTGAAATTCTAATCATTTGCATATCTCACCTCCGATAATGCATTTTGTAAATTTCATGTTGTTTGCATGATTATTTCAGAGTGTTGCATTTACGGCGGCCAGCAGTTTACTTCTAGAACACATAGAAAACAGAAATTTTGTACTTTTTAGAACCAGATGACAATGCAAATTGACAAAATTTCAGACATCTGGGTTGTCAGGGGGGCCGGGAACAGGTAAATTTTCAAATTGGCCTTCAAAATTTGTAATTTAGTTTTAATATGCTCCCAGACCACATAGAATTATGGAATTTTGAACAATCGCTCAGTCCAATATTAGCAATGCAAGT